AAAAAAAAAAAGAATGACTTAAGAGGGGCTGGGAAGGTAGGTCAGTGGTAGAGTGCTTGCCTTGCATGCATGAGGCTCTGGGTTCGATTCCTCAGCACCACATAAGTAGAAAAAGCCGGAAGTGCTGCTATGACTCAACTGATAGAGTGCTAGCCTTGAGCTGAAGAGTTGAGGGACAGTGCCCAGGCCCTGAGTTCAGGTCCCATGACCAGCAAAAAAGAGAGAGAGAGAGAGAATGCCTTAAGAATTTTCTCCCTGCTCATTTTCTCCCCTTCAATTTGCCCACATTTGAACTTTACCTTACCACTTGTCTCTTAGAAAGGAACTCTTTTTTTTGGGGGGGGGTCCAGTCATAGGGCCTGAACTCTGGGCCTGGGCGCTGTCCTTCAGCTCTTCAATCAAGGCTAGTGGCCTACCACTTAAGCCATAGCACCACTTGCAGCTTTTTTCTGTTTATGTGGTGCTGAGGAATCGAACCCAGGACCTCATGCATGCGAGGCAAGCACTGTACCACTGAGCCAGCCAACTTCCCAGAGCCCCCCCCTCCACTCTTATCTTTATCTAACCACCAGAAACCCCCAGAAGTGGCATTTGTGGCTCAAGTGGCTGAGTGTTCACCTTGAGCTGAAGAACTAAGGGACATCTCCCAGGCCGGAGGCGGGGGGGGGGGGGGGGGGGGGGGGGGAAGGAGAGAATGGTGGAGAGGAGGGGAGACGGATCTATCCAGGGAACGAACGAGCTTTACAACATCGGTTAGCGGGGGGGGGGGGGGGGGGGGGGGAGTATTTTAGAGTCTGCTAAGAGTTAGGAAATGTTTAGGGGAATGGGGATACAGAGATAAACAGTCCATAGTTGCTTTTCCTTAATGAGCTTACTGTCTGCAAGATGTGACCAAAACTGGGCACTGGTGGCTCATGCCTATAATCCTAGCTACCCAGGAGGCTGAGATATGAGGATCACAGTTTGAAGGAAACCCAGACAGAAAAGTCTATGACACTCTTATTAACCAGCAAAAAAAGCCATAAGTATAGTGTGACTCAAGTGGTGGAGCAATAACGTCAACAAAAATAAAAGGGCTGGGAAGGTGGCTCAGTGGTAGAGTGCTTGCCTTGCATGCATGAGGCCCTGGGTTCGATTCCTCAGCACCACATAAGCAGACAAAAGCCAGAAGTGGTGTTGTGGCTCAAGTGGTACAGCGCTAGCCTTGAGCTGAAGAGCTGAGGGACAGAACCCAGGCCCAGAGTTCAAGGTCCATGACTGGCCAATAAATAAATAAATAAAGTAGCTGGGTACCAATGTCTCACGCCTGTAATCCTGGCAACTCTAGAAACTGAGATATGGGGATCAGGGTTCGAAACCAGCCCAAGCAGGCAAATATGAGATTTTTTATCTCCAATCAACCAGAAAAAAAAAAAGCCAGAAGTGGAGGTGTAGTTCAAGTGAAAGAGTGCCAGCTTTGAGCAGGAAAAACTCAAGAATGTGAGGCCCTGAATTCAAAACCCAATGGCACTGCAATCAATAATAGATCTATAATAAAACACAAAGTTATCAACTGGTCTTGCTCATAGCAAAAACTTGGAATCCAAGTCTTCTTTACCCCGACATTAATTTAATTTCTAGCCCAGAATATTTCTAAGAAAGAAGCCTGATGATGGCATTAACTTGAATCCAACTTCAATGATTCACAGTGGCCTCAGTATAGCATCTGCCTTCTTGGGTATAGCAGGCCAGCCGTTCAGGATCTGGTCAACATTGACTTCTCAAGCCTGATCACTTGCAACCCTTCCCCTCTCCTGCTCTCCATCTTTCTCACTAGGCCCCAAATCCGTGCCTCAGCCATCTTGTACACATACCTGCAATTTCCCTCAGGTTCTTTTTTGTCCCCTTATGGTTCCTTGTGGCTAGCTAAGACTCCTGTTTTTCAGGTCCTAAGGGACAGGTCACCTCCCTTCCTGACCCCTGGGATTGGGCTAGGAGACTCCTACCACTGAGCTCCCCCATCCCAGTACCATACTGGAGAGGGCCTCTAACACTGGCTCCCCTCCCTCCAGCTTGTGAGGTGGCACCTGATAAGCCCCCTGACCCCCCCAGCATCCTTGCACGACCTAGAACAGCGTAAGCTGCTCCTTTATATTTTTCTTTCATGACAAGTCCATTTGAACAAGTTACAACTTTCTCCTTCCAACCCCAGAGGCCCCATTTCCCAGCAGCAATCGCTCCCAAGCCCTGCTCCCTGGCTGGGGGAGGGGAGGCGAGTGGCAGTCCTGCAGGGATCTCCTCAAAAGAGACGAAGGAGGCAGGGGATCGTGAAGGACCTTTGTATTCTCACCAGGACAAGACAGTCTTGCAACCGTCTCCATTAGATCCTGCCCCCCGCGCCCCCCCCCCCGAGCTCACTCAGCCTCCCCTCCAAGGGGTCCCACTCTAGACTCCACGTCGGACTCCAGAAAAATCTTCTTCCCAAAATGGTCTCGGGCCTCCCCCCCACCCTCGACCCCCTTGGCCTCAGCCTCCTCTCTCGCCCTCAACCTCCTTTCCTCAGCCTCCCCCGCCTCACTTCGACCTCCTTCTCCCAGCCTCCGCCCTCTGCCTCTTCCCCAACGCCCAGCCTCCCCTTCTCCAATCTCCCCAACCCCGCCGGCCCCGCCCCCGCCTCCTGGCTGGTGCTCACCATCGTAGTAGTAACAGACTTTCCTTTTGGTGCCCTGAGTATGCGCCATCTTGCTCGCCTCCCAGCCCTCCCGTCAGTCAGTCGGTCGGTCCGTCCGCCCGCCCGCCCGCGGCTCTGCGCTGCGTCCGACCCGAGGGGAGGGGCAGTCCTGCTGCCGCCCCGCCTGTCCCCTCCCGGCTCACCTATAGCCACGCAGCCCGGGCACCGCTCCAGCCAATCAGCGCGTGGGGAGGCGGGCCCGGAACTCGGCAGGGGGCAAGGGCTGAGCTGAGCGGCGGCCGAGGGCCCCCTGGGCCTGTACCAAGGGCCGCGGCAAAGGGGTTGGGGAGCTTCCCGGGGACCGTACCATCAGTCCCGGGGGAGGAAAGCAGCTCTGTAAAAACTTCAGCCATCCTCCTTTCTGGGTTTGGAGATCAGAGGCCAGCTTTCTTATTTTGCAGAGAATAAACAGGCTTCCGGGGGATACGTGACTTGCACAAGGTCACTACAGCCAAGGAAAAGGCTGAAGCTGCTTTGGCGTGGCGAGGAGGGAGGAATGAAATAACAAAGGGAAAAACATTGTCCACAGCCTGCTGTGGACCAAGTAATGAGCTTTACCAATAATAGTTCAATAGTCACTTACTCCGGACAATAAGACAATAGCTCTGGTGGAGGGTTTTTGTTTGTGGGTGTGGTTGTTGTTGTTTGGGGAGGGGGGGTGTATTTTGTGTGAGTGTGCCAGCCCTGAGGCTTGAATTCAAGGAGTGTTCACTGTCCCTAATCTTTTTTTTTTTTTTTTTGTACAAGGTTAGCACTCTAGCATTTGAGTCCCTTGATTTGTTTGCCTGGGCTGACTTTGAACCTTGATCCTCAGGTCTGAATAGCTAGATTTAAAAGTGTGAGTCAGAGGCATCTAGCTAAAAACCTTTCTAATCCCAAAGCAGGCCTAACCCAAGCCGACTGAGGAGCCTTTGGAGGGTGGAGAAAAAATGGAATTGCCCCGTTATTAAGAGAAGAAGGTTTCTCGACTTTGACACCATTGACATTTTGTGCTGAATAATTCATTGTTATGGTCTGCCCTATGTATTATAGACATTTATCAGTGTTTGGCCTCTTTCCCCTTAGATGTCAGTAGCACATACACACTCATTCTGGGACAACAGAATCATCTCTAGACAGTGCCTAGCAGGGAGTGAGCTAGCTGGGATGTAAAATGATTACCAGCTCTCCCTTTGAGAACCATCGCCCTTGATCCTAGAACCATGCATCAGTCAAAAACATGTCATACCTAGAAGCTGAAAGAGGAAAAAGCCCAATTCTGAGCTTTAAAATAGCAGCTACAATAACTTTAATATTTAGTGAGCACTTACAATGTACCAAACAGTTGTGGTAAATTAGCTGTTTATCTGTAGTCCTACAGACAATAAGATACATTTTTATGCCTTTTTCCCCTCTTGAGACAGGTGTTTCACTAACTTGTATCTTAAACTCCTGAGCTCAAATGATCCTCCTGACTGCCTCCTGAGTGCTGAGATTACAGGAGTATACCACTATACCTGGCCCTTTTCTATCTCTCACTTTTTTTAAAATCAGTCCTGGGGCTTGAACTCAGGGCCTGGGCACCATCTCTGTGCTCTTTTTGCTCAAGGCTAGTTCTCTACCACTTTGAGCTACTGTGCCACTTTTGGTTTTCTGGTGGTTAATTGGAGATAAGAGTCTCACAGACTTTCCTGCCAGGCTGACTTCAAACCAGGATCCTCAAATCTCAGGCTCCTAAATAGCGTGAGCCACTAAACCCAGATTCCTTTTCTCTCTTTAAATGTTATTGTGTTACTCACTTGGGACTACATTTGGACCTTTAGCTATAAGGTAACATAAGATCTAAGGTTAGGTTGTGTTAGCATACAAAAGAGCAAACTTTATTCCCAGTTCTGTGTTGCTGCTTTTTTAACTGGCCTTCTGCAGTTTTTGCTTAACCTTTCCAGGGCTCCATTTCTCTCTCTGAAAAAGGGTGAGGATAAGAGAGCAAAGTTTACCTGCCGTACACAGTGTCCAAAACAGGAGAGAGGGGTGTGGAAGCAATGAGATCATGGTGTGGTAACATTTTGAGAAGTGCAGAGCAAGGCTCATAAGGCAGGTAGGTGAGTGAATGTGTTTAAATTATTATGACTCAGATGTTCTTTGCATATTTTTATAGCCCATTGTGTGATAATAATATAATTTGTTCATTTATCTTACTGCATCTGGGCATTTTAGGTACTTCTCAGTTTTTCATTGTTAACAGGTGCTGCTCTAAATTTGTTCACATATTTTAAAACTTGGCCTTTTTGCTTCCATAAAGAAATACAGGGGCTGGGAAGGTGGCTCAGTGGTAGAGTGCTTGCCTTGCATGCATGAGGCCCTGGATTTGATTCTTCAGCACCACATAAACAGAAAAAGCCAGAAATGGCGCTGTGGCTCCAGAGGTAGAGTGCTAGCCTTGAGCAAAAGAAGCTCAGGGACAGCATCCAGGCCCAGAGTTCAAGCCCCACGACCAACAACAACAACAAAAAAAAAACAGAAAGAAAGAAAGAAAGAGAAAGAAAGAAATGTCAAGCCATGGGCTGGGAATGTGGTTTAGTGATAAGAGTGCTTGCCTAACGTGCATCAAGTCCTGGGTTCAATTCCTCAGTATCACATAGACAGAAAATGTTGGTTTAAGTGGTAGAGTGCTAGCCTTGAGCAAAAGAAGCTCAGGGACAGTGCCCAAACCCTGAGTTCAAGCCCCAGGACTGGAGGGATGGAGAGGAGAGGAGAAAGAAAAGAAAAGAAATATGAAGCCATGTGCTGGTGGCTCATACCTATAATCCTAGTTACTCAAGAGGCTGAGATCTGAATATCACAGTTCAAAGCCAGCCCAGGGAGGAAAGTCTGAGACTCTCAATCTCCAATTAACCACCAAAAAGCTGGAAGTGGGGTTGTGGCTAAAGTGGTAGAGCACTAGCCTTGAGCAAAAGCTCAAGGACAGTGCCCAGTGCCCAGGTCCTATTTCAAGCCCCAGGACCAACACACACACACACACACACACACACACACACAAGAAATATGAGCCAGGCATAGTGGCATTGTCTTGTAATCTCAGCATTCAAGAGGTTGAGGGGCTGGGAAGGTGGCTTAATGGTAGAGTGCTTGCCTCACATGCATAAGGTCCAGGGTTTGATTCCTCAGCACCACATAAACAGAAAAAGCTGGAAGTGGTGCTATGGCTCAAGTAGTAGAGTGCTAGCCTTGAGCTGAAGAGCTGAGGGACAGTGCCCAGGCCCAGAGTTCAGGCCCCACGACTAACAAAAAAAAATAAAAAATAAGAGGTTGAGACAAGAGGATCTCCAGTTTAAGGCCTTGTCTCCAAAAGCAAAACAAGGACTGAAGGCCTGGGTCAGTGGTAGCACTCAGTATCAAAAATAAAAAAAGCAAAACAAAGAAAGAAAGGAAGCCGGGTGCTGGTGGCTCACGCCTTGTAATCCTAACTACTCAGGAGGCTGAGATCTGAGGATCATGGTTCAAAGCCAGCCTGGGCAGGAAAGTCCCTGAGACTCTTATCTCCAATAAACCTAGAAAACTGGAAGTGGTGCTGTGGCGCAAGTGGCAGAGCGCTCACCTTGAGCTGAAGAGCTGAGGGACAGCACCCAGGCCCAGAGTTCAAGCCCCATGACCAACAACAACAACAAAACAAAAGGAAAAATGGGGAAAGAAGAAAGGAAGGAAAGAATGTGGGGGAGGAAAGAAGGAAAAAAACTTTTCTTTGTCAAACACATTACCATGTTCAGATATCTTTAATGTTTTTTTTCTCTTTATCAAACTATAGATGTCAAAAAACCTTTAATTTTCCTCTTTATTATAAAAACAACAGCACATATTGATGATACATAGTTACTAACACTTGGTTTCCTGATCTAGGAGTGGAGGGGACTCCTACAGAGGGAGAGTTAATGCTCACCTGAATGAGATGCCCACTCCTCAACTCCAAGAAGACAGGTAGGCCCAAGGTAGCCAGCTTTTTTTTTTTCAAGAAAAGGCAGAAAGAAATATGAAGATATATATATAAACTCTCCTCAGTTTTGTAAATTAGCTAATTTAGTCTACTTTTAAAAAGCTGGTATTAAGCCGGGCGCTGGTGGCTCACGCCTGTAATCCTAGCTACTCAGGAGGCTGAGATCTGAGGATCAAGGTTCAAAGCCAGCCCGGGCAGAAGAGACCGTGAGACTCCTATCTCCAATAAACCACCAGAAAACCGGAAGTGGCGCTGTAGCTCAAGTGGTAGAGCGCTGGCCTTGAGCTGAAGAGCTGAAGGACAGCGCCTAGGCCCAGAGTTCAAGCCCCCACGACCGAAAAAAAAAAAAAAAAAAAAGCTGGTATTAGCCAGGCACTGGTAGCTCATGCCTGTAATCCTAGCTACAAGGAAGCTGAGATCTGAGGATCATGGTTCAAAGAGAGCTGGAGCAGAAAAGTATGTGAGACTCTTATCTCCAATTAATCACTCAAAAACCAGAAGGGGCACCATGGCTCAAGTGGTAGAGTGCTAGTCTTGAGCACAAAGAGGTTCAGGGACAGTGCCCAGGCCCTGAATTCAAGCCCCACAACTGACAAGAAAGAAAGAAAGAAAGAAAGGAAGGAAGGAAGAAAGAAAGAGAAAGAAAGAAAGGGCTGGGAAGTTGGCTAAGTGGTAGAGCGCTTGCCTTGCATGCCTGAGGCCCTGGGTTCGATTCCTCAGCACCACATAAGCAAAAAGAAAAAAGCCGGAAGTGGCGCTGTGGCTCAAGTGGTAGAGCGCTAGCCTTGAGCTGAAGAGGAGCTGAGGGACAGCACCCAGGCCCAGAGTTCAGGCCCCACGACGGGACCAAAAAAAAAAAAGAAAGAAAGAAAGAAAGAAAGCTGGAAGCTGGTATAGCCAGGCATTGGTGGCTCATGCCTATAATCCTAGGTACACAGGAAGCTGAGACCTGAGGTTCATGATACAAACACAGACCAGGCAGAAAAGTTCATGAGACTTTTATTCCCAATTAACTAGCAAAAAGCTAGAAGTGGGGCTATGGCTCAAGTGTATAGTACCAGCAAAACAATCCAAGTGGAAGTGGAAGTTCCTAGGGGCTGGGAATGTGGCTCAGTTATTG